TAAATTCCAGTTTTGGTAGAGGAAGAAGATCAGAGTGTTGACAGATGATGTCTCATGCAGAGGGATCTGCGTGAATAGAGAAGTTACATCGAAGGAAACCATGATTTTGTCACGTACATTGAGTCTATTCACCTCTTCAACAAATTGGAACCAGTCTTTGAGAGTTGTCTGACAAGTTCTAACCTATCGGCTAACCACTGAGTAACTTTGTGAAAGGGTGAATTCACTATTGAGAGTATTGTTCTCATTGGGCAATTCTTTTTATGTGTCTTCGGCAGACCATACGTATATGGTAGACGAGACCCCGTGAGTTTTAATTCATTATACGTATGATTGTTAATCATTTTCTTTTTCAATAGCTCTCTGAGTACTTTCGTGACTTTCTTTTCTGCCGAATCCGTCATATCCTTCTTGCAGTTATCAATCTTAAATTTCGACGTGTCACTCAGAATGGACTCCATTTTTTGGACATATTCAGCCTTGTTCATCACTACCACGTCTGAACCTTTGTCTGGTCGCAATATGACGATATCTTCATTGTTAAGCAGACGTTTAATTGCTTTTTGATGTTCTTTCGTCATGATTCTAGACTCTTGAGTCGGTGAGCATAGGTACTGGTTAGAGATATCAACTAGTCTTGATTTGAACCAACCTTTCTTATTTTCACTAACGGGATGTAAGTCGGTTAACTGGTTGAATAAATTCTCCAATTGGGCTTCTGTGTCTATTTTATTCACAAATTTCCCGGTACATGGAACTTGAAACCGAGTGAAAGCGCCTCAATTTCAGTTTGATTTAGCTTTACACTTGACTGATTGATAACGTATTTTCCGCGAAGCTTTCACATAATTGTTCTTTCACTAATGTCTTCGATAGGGCCGTGAAGAAGTTTTCACTTGTTTTGTTTTGAAGATCTCGAATGAAATTTATGAATTTGACTCTGCATACGACGTTTAAATCATTGACAGTGTCTTCAAAAGAGCTAGCTTCTGTTTTCAGCTTCGTAATCAGCCGTTTCGTCGATTCAATATTGGATTTTGTTAAGCGTCTGAGATTTTTCAAGGAAGGAGGAAGTTTACAAGAACGAAGGTTTTTTATAAACTGACGAGGGAAACAGCAGGAGCGTAGACATTGATCATAAATTTTCAGTCGAGTAACTTCGCGTGATATTCTGCAGCGTAAGGTCACCAATTGATTCAGCGACTTGAATGAAGTAGCAGGGAGACGACTTTTCAAGAATTTCATACAATGATTCCGTTTTATAAATTTGAACAAAGAAAGAAGAAACATTGGCGCAGAATAATCTGGATTCATTTTATTTAGCTGGTTCTCATCAGCTGTGCACAACCTGAATGTTTTGTCCATTAGCAAGCATATTGTCAAAGCGTCATAGTCAAATCGCAACACCTTATTTCACTATGACACGCTGACAATATGCTTGCTAATGGACAAAAGTTTTTTAAAATTGTACACTTTTTTATTTTATTCAAGAATTCAGGTTGTATGCGGCTGATGAGAACTGACGAAATAAAATGGATCCAGATTACTCTGAGCCAATATTTCTTCTTTCTTTGTTTGTATTAATTTATTATGAGAAAAGACGTTGAAATTGTGCATCATGATATAGGAATATCCAATATCAAAATAAAATATTTATGCTTTCGTATACTTCATCTCAGTCATTAACTAGGAAGCGTTAACCGACTACTCAAACATTATTTCCACTGATAGTTGGGTATCTCATTGTCACAAGTTGATGAACTCCAATAGATTTGATACAGCTCCCAAAATAAAAAACGACCAGTTCATTTGCTGTGTAATCTAAGCGTCATTGCAGGAAGTTTTTTTTCCTGTCTTGCATGAATTCGACAAATACACAAAGCGTCCTTTAATGCTTGTGTAAACAAATTTTAATTCGTGACCACTTCTCGTCAGATCCTTTATTAGCAAGCCTACAAGTTTGGAAAAGCGTTTCCATATTAGGACTGATATATTCACCTGATTCATTTTGAAGTCAAATAAATGCCATCTGGAACGTGATAATAAACCGATTGAATTGTTCCTTAAGGTATTCGGTCTGAAGTGTCATCCACTATCAGGAACGTTTCTTGATAACATTCAAATGAACTGTCGTCAAGATTTGACAGAATCCTGATTAATAAATAAAAAATGGATAGGTATCACTAATTAATAATACTAGGTCAAAATTCCCGATTGTCTATATTTTCTTATGGAGACGTTGACAAATGTTTTACAGCTATTTATCCACACACACAAACAGACTCTCTTTAAAGTGTTTAACAAAGGTAGACCAATATTTGTAAGTCCGAGGTCAAATTTTGATCACGGCTGATACAATTTTGTATATTACACATGTTGATACCTGTTTCATGACTCATGACTAGACAAAGTTTATAAAAACAGGAGATGTTCCTTTTATATATAAACCTCTGTTGTGTTAATTTCTATTAATTTCCCTTAAGAAAGTCTGATCAGATTGCCGAACGAAACGTTGGAATTGCTCATTTCAATCTCGCTGAGATTTTACAAATGTTTCTTGATAACAGTTTGAATTTTCAACTTTTATCTAGTTAGTAACTTTCAATACCTTAAGTGTTGGTATTTCTCCGGTGATTCATGTATGTTTGTAACCATCTCTGAGACATTTAGTGCATCTTCGTGGGGCTTTCATTCCTACGAGTCTGGTAATACTATAAGGCCATGGTTGTTGTTAATGAATGCATTACTGTCTGACAGATCGATGAAGAACTTCACATAGACCTACTGCGAATCTGTTTGCCACGCTTCAAATAAGCGGACAGAAACAAGATTGTTATAGGCTACTAATTGTCTTTATTGTGCGTCGCTGGCGCAGCGGTAGAGTGCTCGCCGACCGCGCAGGTAGTCCGGCCACAGATGCACTCCTTTACCTCGGTAAAAAGGGAAGGTTGGGCATTAGGCCAGCAACCCCCATCCTGTAAAAATAATCACCACTGCTAACAAAACTTTAAGCCTTTTGTTTGAAGGAATAAAAAAATTGTCTTTATCGGTGTTTCTTTGACAGATTGAGCATGTCATCAGATTAGTTCTATTTGGGAATAGCCATCATCTTCAGATGATTGTTTAGTTATTTCTTAAATGAAGACGTAGTACTGTCATTTTCTAGTCAGGCTTGAAAAAGTCTTGCAGCAATAAACATGTGCGTGGATCACGGCGTGATCATTGGAGTTTAAGGGACTGTTTAAAATAATCAAGAAGGCTTATAGCTCAGGATGAAGATGGAAACTGCATGGTACCCTCCGAGTTTTAGTATGTAATCGTAGATGTTACATCACCAAGTTGAGTCATACCTTCAACATTATAACTTCATGAATAATAATTTAATTTTTAATAATTTTTCCTTCACGTTCCCCAGTGGAACATAGGACTTCAAGCTAGTGGCTTGAAGTTTCTGTAGCAGTGTTTATTTTACAGGATGGGGTTGCTAGCCTCATGCCCAACCTTTCCTCTTTACCAGCATTATTTCTTAATTATTCATAACTTCATGAATAAGTCAGACCTATTTCCAAGTTGCATGGATATTTAGCCCTCAACTTTCTTCTGAATGTGCAGTTGTAATTGAGCGGAAAAATATTTTATAGTCTTCTCACCTTTCATTTTATTGTATCATTTGGTGATAACTCTTCTTTACTGCGTGTTGTTGCAATTCCTTATTTGTGTAACTCCATTATGCATAAGATTTTATTTTGATAAATCACACAGTGGTGTTACACAGTAATGTTAACTAATACGACCACATTTCGAACACAAACTATTGCCAGTCATAATCATATCAAGTCACTCACTCACACAACTTTCTTGTTTCATTTATATACATGAGTGGAAGTGATGATAAGACATTTGAATAAAAATCAATGTGGGATAATGTACATTCATAAATAATAATATGAGTGTTATTGGTCAAATACAATCAGATGGGAAATAAGGCGAGTGTTTTATAGTCGAAATAAATAACTTGTCAGAATGTTATGATGTACGTGAATTGAATTGAGATCGAATTTTAAGATTATTTATTATCCCCTCTGATTTGACTGACTGTTGGTAATAATATCTGCCATGCATATCTCTGGTATTTGCATTGAGTCATTTCTGTTGCATGTGTTGTGTTGGGTGTAGACTCGATGAACCAGGTAGGATTCAGTAATCAATCTCTCTCTCCACCTACATAGATTGCTTCTTAGAATCTTAACCTTCTCCCACCCTATTGTGTGTTAATGCATGCAGTGAAATTGCTGAGCTTTTTTATTATCGCCAATCAAATCAGATGAGGATAATAAATAATCTTAAAATTCTATTTCAATTCAATTCACGTACATCATAACATTCTAATAAGTTACTTATTTTGACTATAAAAACACCCGTCTTATTTCCCATCTGATTGTATTTGATCAATAACACTCATTATTATTTCTCAATGTACATTGTCATATATTGGTTTTTATTCAAATGTCTAATCATCAATTCCACTCATGTATATAAATGAAGTAAAAAATGGTTGTGTGAGTGAGTGACTTGATATGATTATGAGTGGCAATAGTTTGTGCTCGAAACGTCATCAGTTAATATTACTGTATAACAAACACTGTGTGATTTATCAAAATAAAACATTATCTATAATGGAGTTATACTGTACCACAGTGCCCAAATTTTATCTTTATATCAATATTATGAATTCTTCAGTCATCATTTTCATTAGGAAACACTATTTGAATCATCCCATGTGTAAAGTAAAACGCGTACTCCAGCTTTAAATGCTTACACAATCTACTCTACAACATAAAATTGTGTCCAATTACTATTACCGATTTGCGTTGTCAAACTCAACTTCTAATCAATATGATACGTAACAATTTCCTCCGGTTTTACAATGAAATTCAGCCTAACATCTCAACTCACAATTAAACACAAAAAGAATAGTAACAAAGTACAAAAATTTCTATATCTACATTTAAAAAAAAAAATTAACAATTTCATAGCAAAAAGCACTAGACATTGTCTTTTTTAGTCCTGAGTTCATTTATTTCTCTAGCTACTTTATGAGCAACTGGTGGGCCTTGATAAACAAAACTTGTATACAACTGGACTAAAGTAGCACCAGCATTCAATTTAGCCATTGCTTCTTCTCCACTACTTATACCGCCAACACCAATCAGTGGGATAGCGCCTTTAGTCAGAACAGAAATCTTTTTCAGGCATTCAGTTGACTTTTCAAATAATGGACGACCACTTAAACCACCATATACAATTGTTTGTTGATTGTTATCTGACAAGTGAGTAGCAGCACCACAGGCAACAGCTTGTTCATGTGTTGCCAGTGTTGTATTTGAGACAATCATTCCATCAATTCTTGTCTGAAAAGTAAACCAAATGTATTAATTTAAGAGGGATCTACTGTTCAAATGAAAAAGGCGAAAGGTCATGTAGGAGCTGAGAGAATTCCTTTGAAACACGCATGTCACAATCTTACAAAATTTACAACTTAATCTTTTGATACCGTAAGTATTGTCAACGAGGTTTTAGGCGTACAGGTTGTATAGAACATCGTGCACAACATACGCGATCGAGATAGAGTTATCTGTGTCTGGAGTTGGAAGGAATCAGCGGATTTATAAGAAAGGTGGTATATTACTTTAACGTTTAAATGAGCCAGAATTATTTAATTGAATTTTAGATTTTCCCGTCGATTGATTGGACCGAAGTGCTCGGTCTCAGGTTGACATGTCGGCTTCTTGTGCAGATGCTTCGACGATGTCTGGGCATGTAATTAGAATTTAATTGGTGGATGGTGACTATCAGTGGAATCCAGGACAACGCGCATTTCGTCCTATCTGGGACGCGTCATCTGGATGTACCTGCATTCTCCAGTGAGTGATGATGTTCCCACCGTGGCTCGAACCCAGTGCCCATAGTTTCAAACGTCAAAGCGTTATCCACTTCGGTTCAATCAACCGACGGGAAAATCTAAAATTCAATTAAATAATTAATATGACCCGTTGCACAAGAGGTGGTTCTCGTTGCCCAATTGGTCTAGTGGATAACGCTTTGACGCTTGAAACTATGGGCACTGAGTTTGAGGCTCGGTGGGAAAATCATCAGTCATTGGGGAATGCAGGTACATCCGTGTGACGAGTCGCAAATAGGACGAAATGCGCGTTGTCCTGGATTCCACTGCTAGTCACCATCCACCAATTAGAGCCAGAATTAGTTCAAAGTTCCATTACAAATGGTAATGAATGACTTGGAAACAAAAATGAGAACCTGTTATAACAATCTAATTCTGTAAACTTTCTTACTTAATTAAATATGCACTAGAGGGATGAGTGTATTCACCTAGAATGATGCGTCAAAGCAGGCTACACCATCCCCAAGTATTAGAATATTAATTCAGAGATTACATAATACTTGATTTATAATTTCATATGGTCCTGGACTCTCGATTTTAGTGGCTTTTTGATTCATATCCATCAAAAATGGAAAGTGTTTCGTCGTCAAAAAACGGTTAAGTAATAATTTCACCTAGTTTACTGGTTCACTAGAAGGTCCTAAACCAGGAGAAAGAGGGGAGGTTTGGGCATGGAGGTAGCTACCCCATCCTGGAAAACCAAACACATCGCTAGCGAAACTTCAAAGCGCAGAAAAAATATAAAACTTAAACTTATTTTTTTCTCTGGAATCGGAGAGACGGAATGGCACAAGCTGGTGAAGTTGAGGTGTAAAAGCGCTCGGAATCTGTCAGAGCAGATCCAATTGAAGTGGATTCGTGTAATTGTTAACTGGAGAGTCAATGATCTACTGCAGTTACTTAGACGCGACAACCACGAGCACGCTGAGGGAGTGAGTGGCTATCATGATAACACCAACAGAATGCAATCTCTTATGCAGTATAAACCAATCTCCTCCAGAATAATGACAGAAAGATTCAATTCGAAAAGTAGGAAATTTGTAATTATCCAAAGATACGCACAATGTCCCGAAACAGCGTAGATCAGCAGAATAACGAAGACTTCTGAAGACAAAAGCAAACAGCAATGGACAAGACCCGAGAGAGATTGTGATATCAAAATCCTGATGGATGACATGAATGCAAGCCAAACAGAGAGCGAAAAACATAGGAGCAGAACTCATCATGAGTCGAGAGGCTCTTGGCGAAAGGGATAGGGATGGAGAACTCTTCAACCACTTGGTGACTTGGAGGCAGTGTGTACAAGCAAAAAGATATATACAAAGCAACGCGGGTCTCACCTGACGGACACACCGAAAGTCCGATAGACTTCATCTTAATCTGTCTTCTAGACACAAAATCGAGTAGAGGAGCAGATGTGAGCCGAGACCACCATCTAGTGAGAAAAACCCTCAATGTCAAGTTGAAAGCCTTCAAAGAAGGTGCACACACCACAATTCAAGTTCAACACTCAAAAACTGAAGGACGGAACTATAAAAGACGGTGGGTCGGTCGGTTTTCGACATAGAACTTTGCACATATGTGCGGCAGTTCAAGTCGCCACACTCCCTTGATGTAGCACACAAAGCAAGAGAAGAAAGTAAGAGAAATGCATAATATAGACAGTAAACAGAGGTGTGAGACAAAGGAATAGTAATAACGGAGAACAAAACAGTTTAATTGGAAATCACAAGTCACAAGGAGTGGATGCATCTGCGCCACTGAGAACGATTTTGAGCTATGTCACCAATTGTTCCCAACCATTGGTTTTTACCGTCCCGAGGACCCCAACCAGGAAGTCTACATCTTCCTACGTGACTTAGACTAACTGTTGTGGATTTCATTGACTGGTGCCATGTTTTCGTTTGACCGCCGCTAGCTCTTTTCCAGCCTGGCCCAATATCAGCTAACATTGCCCGTCGAGGAAGACTATGACTAGGCATACGTAACACATGTCCCAACCATCTCAGTCGATGTAATTTCACAGTCTCCTCGACTGATTTCCCCGCCTTACCTAGCACTCGACGCCTTACCTCAATATTGCTCACCTTATTATACCACTTCACCATGGAGATAGAACGCAGACACCTATGATCGAAGACAGCTAATCTTTTCATGTCTTCTGCTCTCAATGGCCATGTCTCACAGCTATAAAGGAGGACGGAGCGGACTGTTGAGCAGTGCACACGCCATTTGGTCGATAGTCGGATATCACGTCTACGCCTGAGACGGCGCAAACTGGCATATGCGAACCTAGCCCTCTGTATTCGTGCTGAGATTTCGTCGGAGATCAACCCGTTGGCACTGGCTGATGGTACTTCCCAAGTAAGTGAAGTGGTCAACGTGCTCTACCACTTCACTTCCTATTTCTAATCTAGGGGTCGGTGAAGTCCAATCCTGTAACATCATCTTGCATTTTACAGGGGCGAATCGCATGCCAAACATACGAAGAATGTTGCTCAAGGTGTTCAGTAGACTCTGCATTTTGTCAGCGACTATAAAAGACACCTTCGCAGCAGCCATCACGAAAAAACGAGAGATATTATGTGACATCACCGAGGAAACCTGTGTGGAAGAACACTGGAACTCTCTGAAAGTGATGTTAAACGAAACCTGTGCAGAAAGAAGAAGTGACAAGATAAGGAATGCCTCTCTACGGACACGTGAAAGCTAAAATAGCACAAAGGCATGGCGAAACAGAAGATGAACCAGTGCAAAGATGGAAAATCTGACTTCATTGTACAACTCACTGAACAAGGAAGACAATAAGAGTGGTACGAGAGACAAAAGAAAATTCCACGACACACTGGGAACTGAAACAGAATAGGCTGCTGGTAAGAGGGACCTCAACGCTACACCAGATAACCAGGTCACTATCTTGTTAGGGATCAAAACAGACGAAACCAATGAAACATAGTGAAGGGAATCTAAATACCAAAGAGTGGGAACAAAGTAAATAATGGGCTGATCACTTCAAAGGATAGTCGAAGCGACCACCGACTACAACTCGTCCACCGACGACCACATAACGATCAGTGATCACCAATCCTCCGATAAAAGCAGAAGTCTTGAATGCCATTAGGTTACTGAAAGCCAACTGAGAAGGCAGCGGGACTAGACGGGATTCTCGCTGGAGGCGGTGAAGATATCAGCGAATATCATTACACCACTATTAAAGAAAGTTTGGAAAGAACAGGTACCTACCGGCTGGAATAAAACAGCTATCTTGTCAATTTATCAAAGAATGGGAAATTAGGCCTTTGCGAAAACTGGAGTGGAACCTGTCTACTCCAAGCAAAATATCAAGTCTCGTCATTCTGCATAGACTAAAAGATACTCTGGATGCAAAACTCCAACAGGACCTAGTTGGATTCAGGGAAAGCGAATCAAGTGCGTACCAAATTGCAACGTTACGTAGCCGAGTGTTTATTTGCTGAATTGTAGAACAATAAATTACGCATAAGTGTTCATCAACTAAGGAAGAAGAATAAAGAAACAATTGAGGTATCTCGTTCATAACTTAAATTCTAAAACAAGCCCAGAAATATGCTATCATGTTTAAATTAGATAGAACTAGTTTATTTAATTTTTGTCAGTAGTATGTAACACACAATTTAAAAAAACTAGTTCATTCCCCAGCAATTACAGGTTAATTCAATATATACATATGTGGAACTTTTTACCTTAGGATCCAAGGCAACATCTACTATATCCTTTAAACCTTGATCATTTTCATCTGGTGAAATTTTCAGGAGGATAGGAGTTCTCTTCTTCAATTCGTCTCGAGCGGATAAAACCTATGAAATGATGAAAAAAAAACAACTAGGATATATTATGTTTATAAGTTAGATTATGATGACTCATCCGAACAAGACATAAATTTACAGCGTAATAAATATGCGGTGCGTCAGTAGTTCAGGGTTAGTCACCCGCCCACGCAGTCCAGATTCGATTACCGTCTGACACACTCCCAAATCTTGCCTAGTTTACTGGCTGGTAGTAAGCACAGAAAAGCGAAAGGGCATGAGTGTAAGGCTGGCGACTTAAACCAGGAAAAACAACACACTGGAACTACTACCGCAATCAATCAGGGAGAGGAATATACTTTTAACTGATATTTTGATTGCGGCATATAGGAGTCTCTAGATCTAATATTTATGTGCATTAGCTTTAATATATGTGTAAAACTTGGGCACTGTCGTAGTAAGTAATTCCATATTGGCTTGTTTATTAGATATATCACACACAGTGAGAGAAACAGTATTATTTACTGGATGACACAGTTGCGAACAAAATTTTTCAAAGTCGTAAGATTATAATTGATATGATTGATTATGAACAGCAATAAATTTTGTTCGCAACTGTATCATCCAGTAAATAATACTGTTTCATCACTGTGTGATACATCTAATAAATTGAAAAGAACATCTAAGAAACAAACTAATATGTATTAGCTTTACTCAGCAAATAATATTTTTAGCTTAAAGGAAGCTACTTCAACATTCAAGTCTGTCAATACATAAGAATTTTTTAAAATAAAACTGAGAAGTGCTATATTGTTTCATCGACACCCTGAAAAAGTGTTGCTTCTTGATAAAGATTGCTCTGCAATCAATAAATCTAAAACAGTTTTTTTTATTGTTCACCTTTATTCTTTCCTGGGTTGCTTAAAAAAGACTATGTCATACTTCGTAGAACTCTGAAGACTGTCAGTAGGGCGAGTGATGTCCCACTGGGCCATGTCATTGACATCATCATTGATAGGCACTTGATTTCATGCAACAAATTTGCTAGGGGGATTTTGTCAGACTGTGAGCAACCACTACACACGCAGCTCTAACCTTGTGTCTCCTCCTCAGGTAAAACAAGAAGTCTTTTCAGAAGACTTTATGCACGTACGTCCAAGTATAAAAATTCCACTATACCATATTTCGCGGCACGTATTTTACGTGATGAAAATAGTGTTAGGCATGAACTAACTAACCTTCTTTGCACTACTAAATAAACCATTTCCTCCACCCTTACAACATCAACCTTTATCGTTATTGTACTTCTTATATTTGTAATCCTCTCAAGTTTTTGTTTTTATTTGTTTATTTTTTTCATAAGTGTGAACATCATTTAAGCTGTGTTATAACTGTTAATTTTGTATTTCCCCTCACCATACTATATCAGCAGAACATTAGATTCAATAATCTATAACATGCTAAAATTTTCAAACTGAATCGACAATACTGTTTGAAACAAACTCACTGTTATTATTATTATTATTATTATTATATTTAATATTCTCAATTCGTGCTTCGAATATTTTTGACTTCATATCGTAAACGTGGACAAATTCCTCTGGTTAATTTTGTTTTCAATTTTATTTATACTACGAGTAAATCAGATGCAATATTGTGACAAATGCTGAGAATTCCATTCTGTATTATAAGTACTGTTTTTGGAATAAAGTAGATTATTATTATTATTATATCATTATTTTTCTCATATTCATGCTCCCCCATTTTTTGTCGACTTTTTCATAAGCGTCAACTTGATGTAAGCTCTGTAATAATTGTTATTTTTTTGTTTTTCCCCTCACCATACTTTGTCAAGAGAATATTAGATTCAATACTCTCTAATATGCTAGAATTTTCATACTGTATCGATGATACTGTTTGAAACAAACCCACTGTTATTATTACCATTATTATTATTATTATTATTATTATTATTATTATTATTATTATTATTATTATTATAGTTATTATTTTCATTCTGTACTTTGCAGATCTTTGACATTATTCCTATTGTAAATGTGGACAAGTTCGTGTGGTTAGTTTTATTTAAATTTTGAGTATATTAGATACAATATTGTAACAAATGCTGAAAATTCTATGCTGTATTATAAGTGCTGTTTTTTTGGAATAAAGCAGAATACAGCGAGCCTGAATAGTTCACAGTCTTAACGTCTCTGACTGCAGCACTCACTGGGTGACGCAGGTTCGAATCTCAGAAGGGACATAAGTTCCTTCGAGGTTGCAGATACGCCTTGCTGACTGACTAGTGAGTGCCAACTAGCACGAAACTTAGGTGCAGCCAAGGCTTCCTGGGCCGATTGCCTCCAACCATCTAATACCAACAACAATTCACAGTGCACCGTAATAGCGAGCCACCTAGTGGTATGGTGGCCATATTGCAAGCTTGACTGATAGAATTCACTCTGCACCGAAGTTAGGACTAGACACACACATTACACTAGTTACTGACTAGTGTCCAGTCAAAAAGCAGATTATTATTTTTCTTTAAAAAACTCAGTTAATCGGGACATAATTTTCTTGTAGTAGACTAAGAGATAACTAGTGGCTCAGGCTGAAGTAAGTAGGGTGGATTTTGAACACAGAACCATCTAGTTGAAATCCAATTGAAAAGCAACCAACGAGATAGTACACTATTGCTCTAATTCTAAAAATTTAAAATATAATCTAAATATTAACAAAATGCTAAGTGAAATTGCCTTCACTTGGTTTTTATTTTCTGTCTTCACATAACTTCAACTTACTTTGGATAAGAGATCACGTAATTTCTCTTTAGTCTGTAACGATCGTAAACCTGGAGTGTTTGGACTGGACACATTGATCACCAAGTAGTCAGCAATTTCACCGAATTTACGTACACCTGCGACATAATCAGACACTGGATCTGAACTTGTTTTATTACAGCCTAAATTAACGCCAACTACACCTTTACCTGAAATATATTTAAAATTTTAGAAAAGAAAAGACTGACAAAGACAAACGAAGCAGAAGGAAACAATTTTAAAAAAATTAATTAATATATTAATTAATCAATATAGTTAATTCATATAATATAATATAAGATCCGGATTTTCAACTCCAATGTGAAGTCAGTGATACTTACTATATGGACTTGGCGCATCATGAAGAGCACCTCAAACAAACTACAGAACTTCATCAACAGCTGTCTTCGCTCAAGATCAGATGGCCGGCCAGAAAAGATCAGCGACAGGAATCTCTGGGAGCGAACCAACCCAGCAGGAACCGATTGTACGACAAATATGCAAGAAGAAATGGAGGTTGATTGGCCATACTTTGAGAAAACAAACCATCAAGTGGGTGAAATCACACACCAGGCCATCGCTCGTGTGGAAGCCAAATGGGAAGCGACGAGTTGGTCGTCAGTGAGAGGGTGACATGGAGGAGGTCATGTGAAGAGGAGATGAAATCATGTAGGCAGACGTGGAGCCAGGTGAAAACGTTGGCAGAGAACCGAACGCAATGGAGACGTTCGGCTGAAGACCTATGTACCTCTAAGAACTAAAGGAAACAACAATAATAATACTGGTAGACTTTGTTAACTTATACACACTGTAGACTGATTATTAATCTATGTAGGCAACAACTCCCAGTTTAACATAGGAGTACCAATAGTAAAGTTACACCACATCCTATACATATATTCATCTAAATAACATCCTTTTGCGATCCATTAATGGATCTGATCTAGTTTTATAACCTTACCTAAAAGCTTTCGATAGAATTGGTGTGAGTCCCTGTAATAGGAACCACAAAATCATTAGAATGGTTGAATCTGTGGTGAATATATACTAGGTATGACAAGGAGTTATAACCTTTCCAACCTTCCTGGTTGGGGTCCTCGGGACGGTAAAAACGAATGGCTGGAGACAACTGGTGATATGGCTCAAAATCGTTCTCAATGGCTAGTGCAGATGCACCCACTCCTTGTGACTTATAATATCCAATGAAACTATATTGTTCTTTGATATTACTATTCTTTTTACCTCATACCTCTGTCTGCTGTCTCTATTTTGCATTTACTTTTTTACTTTCTTCTCTTGCTTTGTGTGCTACATGGAGGGAGAGTGGCGACTCGAACTGCTGCACATCAGTGCAAAGTTCTATGTTGAAACCAGTCAGTCCTCGTGACGAATCCCTTCCGTAGAGAGGTATCATATCAACCAATCACCCAAACATTATTCGCTCGTCCTCGACCACAGTTGTATTTCTTCTTTAACAAGACCGTTTCATCTACACGTACAACGACACCTTCTCCCAATAAAGAAGTAAGCCTATCCATTTTCCAGGATGCGATATCGCTGAAGTGCTGATACTACTGAACTGTTGATACAAGACTATTTTCAGTTTCAGTAGCTACACCTCTCACAGGCTGTTTTCAAAAACCCAGTGCTAACAAATATACAAATCTGGATTGAGGAAAGATGGGATCCAGCAAAACATGTTCCTAAGAAATAGTAAACTCATTAGTAAACACAACAGCGTTACAGCAGGCATTTGACTCGAATAAAGCGGAGTACAAGCTTCAACTCACGTGAATAAAACTCATTGGACCATTCAAGGTCAATGGTGCGGACGCAATCCATTGGTTAGTTAGTGGTGCCTAAAGTTTAACTTGGTTCTTATGACTTTTGATAGGAACTACTATTTGATATTAGATGGTTGGAGGCAGTCGGCAGGAAGCCTTAAACAAATATTCCTAATACCACTTTGTTTTTTCTAGTCACCGTATTTTTGGTATAAGTATGGAATTTCCAGCATGTGATACCGGTATCCCAAATTTTGCAGGTGTCCGTCGGCAGGGGATCGAACGCCGGAAAAAGTGCATGGTCGGCCAGCCTAACATGTGCCACCAATGCACAGTACTTTGAACTTGAATATTTACATAGTTATGGTAACAGAAGTAACACTGAATAGCCATTGATGAACAGCTTAAAATGACTGATTGACTGAGATTTTCAGCATAGGATCTGGCACAGAAGTGAGGCAGTTAAAGTGGCCACAATCCATGTGTAGTACACAAGGCAGACACAAAGGGAAGAAGACACTCAAATAGTGAATGATAATAAGCAGAAATGTGAGGTAGAAAGAATAGCAACATGGAAAAACAGGAGGGTTTAATGGCTATGACACATTACGAAGAGTGAATGTATCTGCACCACTGAGAACGATCTTAAGCCATATTACCTAATATAGACTGCAGCTACTGCTTCTTAGCATATCGACGACCTCGCCAACCACTCAGTCTACACACTTCCCAACGCGGCTCAAACCAACTGTCAACAACTCCATCAACTGATTTCCAGGTTTTAGTTTGACCACTACCTTTAACTCTATTCCAACCAAATCCTCTGTCAGCTAACATTGTCCATCGAGATAACTTAAAATGCAGACAAAACAGCCGGAAGAGTATGATGAACCACTAAAAACGACAACATTTTTTTTGCAATCATTACAAGTCTACTAGGAGGACTTGACTATTAAAATCAAAATTCGAATTAATGAATTAATGCTGAAATTTAAGATATCATTATACTTATGATTAGGCTACTTACCTTCCCAAGGACGATCCTTGAGTCTAGCATACACTGCGTCATGACCATCACTGTTAAAACCACATCTACAATAACGATTTTGTATAAGACAGCGAAAGCAATATTATAAATATATTTATATATATGCATGCAACATTTAACCATTGCCAATAAGAATGTCTGTAATTTAATAGGTTAGAGTTAAACTGAAATTGTTAACCGATAGGATATTGGATTTCGATAATATACTCATTCTTCTCATCTTTATACCTTTTTACTACTACCCTCCTGGAACGCTGGGCAGACCACTTTGAGAAACAGTTTAGCTGGCCACCAGCTTCAGTATCTGCTGTCACTAGCTCCAGTGCTCGTTGGTCGGTTAGTACCGACCCACCAACCGAAGCGGAGGTCCATAAGGAACTCCAAGTGTTAAAACGCCATAAGGCACCCGACCCAGACAATCTACCCCTGGCTCTTTTTAAAGATGGTGGTGAGACTCTAGCAATGGCTATAACTGGTTTATTCATGAAGGTATGGGAAACAGAGTGTACCATCAATGTGGAACGAAGCCATTATCGTCCTCATCTTTAAAAACGATCGACGTAATTCATGTGACAACCATAGGGGTATCAGTCTGCTACCAGTTGCGTCTAAAATATTGGCTGCTACCTTGCTCCGCAGGCTGTGCAAAACACGTGAAGGATTGATTCGCGAAGAGCAGGCTGGGTTTCGTTCAGGTCGTGGATGCATTGATCAGTTGTTGGAACACCGCCACACGTATTGCAGGCTAACAATCGTTGTGTTTCTTAATATTACGGTTGCCTTCAACTCGTTGAACAGAACTGTGCTCTGGAACTGTCTGTTAGAGAGGGGTGTACCTGAGAAGTTTGTTAACATCTTGAAAGCCCTATACAGAAACACCTCAGGTACAGTGAGGGCATACAACCAACTATCATCACTGTTCCTAACCAACAGTGGGATTAGACAGGGTTGCCCGATCTCTCCATTTCTCTCTAACTTTGCCATCGATGACATTCTGGAGTCAGCTCTGAAGGATGTGCGTGAAGGTGGTGTAGATCTGCTACCTGGAGATAGACTTTTCGACCTCGAGTATGCAGACGATATCGTCTTACTATGCGATAGCATGCAGGCTGCCCAAATCGCACTTAATCAGTTGGCGATCAGTGTCCGTAAGTATGGTATGTGCTTTGCACCGTCTAAGCGCAAAGTACTGTTACAAGATAGGCAGGAGCCTGTACCTGCACTCACTCTTTCAGGTGAACCGCTTGAAGTTGTTGATAAGTTTGTGTATCTGGGTAGTTGTGTGAGTGCTGGCGGAGGGGTGACGGATGAGATTTCCAACCGTATAATGAAGGCTAGGGTAGTATACATCAAATTGAGCTACCTCTGGCGCCGTCGGAAAGTTAGCCTGGCTGTCAAAGGTCGGGTATACAATGCTTCGGTGAGGGATGTCTTGCTCTAGCCCTGGGAAACCTGGCCTCTCCGAGCTGAGAATGTGCGGCGGCTCTGCGTATTCGATCATCGCCGTCTCCGCAGGATTGCTTGCGTTCAATGGCATCATCGCGTGAGTAATTCTGAGGTTTGGCGGCGTGTGTTTGAACACAGTGGAAATCACCATTCATTGAGTGTCGTCATCTGGAAACACCGGCTCCGGTGGCTTGGACATGTGCTGCGAATGTCATCCCAGAGGCTTCCGTACAGGTCTCTGTTCGCTAGCTCTGGGACGGGATGGAAAAGGCGGAGGGGTGGTCAGTCCATGACGTGGCGTCGTGGGATGAAGGATCTTTGTGCTAGATTAGCATCGGTTGGTGCGTCACTTCTCCCTGGTTGGAGTCCGAGAGATAGCTCGAAACGTTATCGGATATGGCCAAGAATCGTAGTCAATGGCGAACGTGCTGCAATTTCCTTCTTTCTTCCCTTCCTGATGATAATTGACGAATACTGTTTGAACTTGTTAAATATGACTGTTTTCCTTCCAGATGAAGTTCCTTATCCGTTCTCTACTTATATTTTTACTTTTAATCTATGTTGTTTTACTATTATTGTGTGGCGTATCTTCTTGGTGCCATATTGTACCAAGTTTCTCTGCGTTTAATAAAATAAATAAACCTAATGTTCAGATGCGATGCGTAGCATTTTGAACCAATGTCCACTAATGTTAGGTCATGATAATGATACTGTCTAAATGTCGTAATGTTTACAGTAAATATGATAAACATTGCTATCTCAGAGAACACTATCAACACACTTTTGAATCAATCTTAATACAGTCCGTATATTAATACTAAGTTGTTGTCTGTCTGTTCTTACAATAAATTAGTCTGAATATTATGGTTTTTACATTTTGAGGTAATGCAGCTTGAAAAACTGCACATATCAATTCAATTTATAAAAAAGGGAATATAATCTAAGTCAAGTAGTGAAATATATATTTCAGTTACACTTAAATACATTAGTCATGAGGATACAATATTTCTTCATAATGCACTGAAAAAAGTGTGATACATCTATTGTACGGTGTAACTCACTCGCCTAATGGCTTGAATATCAACTAGCCGAGCACAGCTCGAACTAATCTTAGCTTACTAAGACTTGCAGATGTATGTTACTCAACAACATCAATATATTAATTTACATTGAGTCACACTTATACTTATTACAGGGGATGACAAGATTGAGTTGATAGGTGGAGGGGAGCTAATATGCAGGTGACTGATTCAACAATTCACAACCCACCTACAAAGGAATGTGAAGATAATTAAATTATTTACGCAGACAAATAACATGAAGTTATTTAATCGAGCGAGACAGGTAGCTGAAATGTGGACGTCAGTTTAAGAACTCGCCTTTTAGTCAGTGAGTTCGGAGTTCAAGCTCCAACCTACCTAGTAGAGCCTTGACATTAGAATAAGTGTGGCTCATCACTCGGTACATGAAACATCTTTTCTGGGTGACTGAGTTCTAACTTCTTGACTACTGAGGTGAAGACAAGATTTGAGTGTATCTCTCTATTGAAGAATATGATTTCATGGGGAAATTAAAAATATGAGGTACGGAATACTATCTTGGACCTTAATATCTTTCAGACAAAATGAAGTGCGTCAGTACACACTGTTTTGAAGTCTAAAAAATTGGAAAAAATAGCCATTACATCTGAGTTCTGCAATCTGACGACTACAAAGTATGCATTTGAGAAACTTGTCATGTTCAAAAGATGAAGTAAAGTGATCATTATGCTTTATAAACTAAGTGTTTGGCTGTTTTTTTTTAAAAATTTGTAAATATGTCACCACGAAATCACTAGTGAAGTTTGAGAATATTATCTCCAATACACTCCACTTATGGATCTCTTCCTCCACCTTGTTACATTACATTTTAAAACTGTCATCTTATCCCATCCATCCTATTGTACGGTTGTGTGTAGCTCCATGTACAATAGAATGGGATAAGATGACAGTTTTAAAATCTACTGTAACAGCATGGTGGAGGGAGAGATTGATAACAGAAGCTTTGTTTATCGAATCAACTGCAAACACGTGTAATAGGAATGATACAACATCTGTCCACCCAGATATCTGGAAAATTCTACTACCCAAACGACAAATAGGAGAGAACAAAGAAAACTATAAAACTCAAGTTTCGAAGTCGTGTGATTATAATTGATGGGATGATTATGAACAATAAATTTTGTTCGAAACGTCATTGAGTAAATAATACTGTTTCATCACTGTGTGATACATCTAACTGATATGGAATCAGATAAATTTAAGTTTTTCATGACATTGTATGGTTTGAGGCTATACACAGGAAGCTGTGGAAGGTTTCATGCCTACTGAAATACGTATTAACGCGTATAAAGAACTCTGATGGAGATATTTCCATCTCAAAGTTTAAATTTCGCTGCATTCAGAGATGCTTCCTAATAATCCTTTAAAATATTTAAGGAAATTAACAAGCAAACCACCATAATTTGATTGTTTTGCTACAGTAAAATGTCGTTGATTACAATTGTAAATTTATCCTATTTATTGTATGCCACTAAGAATAAATACAAACAATCATAACAATAGTAATAATTCCCACCGATTTATGACAGCTTCACGTTCTGTCCATCTAAATATCCGTGGGCGTTGATTTCCCGGCTGAGGATTTGGTGTGACAGTTCCAACTTCAACATAGGAAAATCCTGCGTCCAAAAGCCCCATAAATGCTTCTCCATTCTTGTCAAAGCCAGCAGCCAATCCAATAGGATGATCAAACTCCAGGTCGAAAAGTTTGCATTTAAGATTTGGGAAAGCATTTCGAGGTTTGTGAGGTACCAGACCATAACTTGCTGCATAGACTGACAATTTGTGAGCAGTTTCACCATCACGAATGATTAGTCGTGCAGTGGATAGAAACCAATCCTTATAGAACCGCTCATTCCCGGAATATAAGGACTGCGCGGTAAACACTCCAAAGCCAAGGCTGAGAATGCCTAACGTTGTCCGAAGTTTGCTCATTAATCAATAAAACCTAAAATAGAAGGCAGTTTTTAGATACATTGATTATATTAGCAGAATCTCCAGCACACTAAGACTGATATATATATATATATATATATATATATATATATATACCAAGCAGCATTGGCATTTCACTACTTCTCCATTCGAACTTAGATTGATCAAATTAGATTTCGAATGAAGCCAAGTATATCACAGTGCTTGTTAAAAGCTAATAGTGGGTGTGCAGAGCAGTGATCACATAAATTTGTGATTTTTTAAAGGTTGTATCTTTTACTTCACACTCAACAATGCCACCACCCAGTTATAAAGTATGAAGTAATTTCTTGACACATGATATCATTGTCCATACTTTAGAGATCACTTGAACTAAGGAAGAGATTCAGAGAAAGCGTAACTCGACAACTATATAAATGTTAGTATAACTGAAAGACATTTGACTGTAAAATGATGATATATGTACCTAAGAAGTGACTACCCAACCAGATCCATTCAGAAAGTTGTAGGAAAGTGAGTCAGGTGGAGATGTCACATTTCGCAACAACATACGGCAAAGGAGCAACGTGCAGTGATGACATAGCGCATACGCAAGTGAAAGATAAGAGGGCAATTAGAAGTCAGCTGTACCACAAGTTTACACACAATAACCTTTAGCAACTCAAAAATGTCAGCCATACAACCAAAGTCACCGTATATAAGTTAGGCTGAAATTCAAAAACTACATGGGTGTGCTACAATCACACAACTGGTAGGATCCAATCCTACTTCAGCTAAAATAGCTCTTCTAAGAAGGCTGTGGTGTAACATAGCACATGTTCCAGTTATCTCATCAGACGCGTGCATACCCGCTGACTCGTCTGCCTTCTAGGCATAACTAGTTCTGAAGTCTGTATTAGCATAACCAATTACATAAAGGCATTGGTTCTATCATGATTGGTACCATCACAACCCTAAAGTATAACAGTTCAGGTCTGACTGACTGGTTTCAATATAGAACTTTGCACTGATGTGCAGCAGTTTGAGTTACCATACTTAACTCAGCACACAAAGCCAGAGAAGAAGAAGAAAGTAAAAAATCACAAAATAGAGACAGTAAAGACAGATGAGTCAAAAGGAATAGTAATATCGAAGAACAATATAGTTTTATTGAAAATTATAAGTCACAAGGAGTGGATGCATCTGTGCCATTGAGAACGATTTTGAGCCATATTACCAATTGTATCCAGCCTTCATTGGTTTTTACCATCCCGAGGACTCCAACCAGTCATCAGTATACATCTCCCTACTTGGCTGGCTTAAATTAACTGTTGTGGATTTCACTGACTGATAGCTGCTACCTTACCAAGGCGATCGGCTTAGGATATCGTTATGATCTAACGACCTTCAAGTTGACTTTTCTTACGGTAATCCATAGCATGCAGTGATTGCCTACAAATGGAAGGCCGAGAAACCGGTCACTCTAAACAGACTATCGGACCAGCCTTAAACAACCTTTTGTTCTGCAACCGCACAAAGTTATTCTATTTTCCTTCAAAGTTAAAGCCTTAAGCAAAACTCTGAAGTATCTCAATATGCACGTGTGCATGTATATGAGATATGTAACGATACGGAGAAGTACTTATTCATCTGATTGCACTTGACCAAAATGAGTGCCAAATTCACCTTTAGAACACTATAATGTTCAAAGGTTAGCTATTGTGGGCCTACTAGTGCAGAAACAGCATACGATAAGGCTCTAAAGAAGAATTATTTACCTATTTAAGTGTAGAACTTGGGCACTGCAGTAGAATGTAATCCCATATAAGATAACTCTATTTGATATAACACAGTGATACAGTATTAATAAGTGGATGACGAGAACAATCTAATGCCCATAATTATATCAATGTGATGCGAAGGAGCGTCTGTTACTTTGCATTAGTTTCAAAAGTAGAAGAAACAGACAAACTTTAACGTCATTGGTACGGATTTCAATTATAATCTTTATCTGATAACACCTCAAAAGACGAGTCAGCATCATCTTCCAGTTCTCATCTAGCGAGGTTTGACTGCAATCTCATGTCGCCATGTTGAGGACCGGTTATGGATATGCAACTCATGAGAATAAACACTAACCTGTCAGTCAATACTTCACGCTCTTGAATCTTGCTCCAATTACTTGAACTTAGGCAGGTGAGTAGGATTATCAGTCCTCATACAATAATTGTGGCTCGTAGATCGGTATAGGATAGGTGAGTTCTAACCAACTAACTAACTAACTGGACAAAGTGAAGTGATTGCATCTCTGCTACTGCTGACCAGCCACTGGGCTGAAAAACATTACTGTTAGCCCTTATCAAGAGATGAATTCCACCTTTTTGAAACTTGAGACGCTAACTAATAGGCTGCATACAGCATCACCACTGAAAACAACCGATTTTAGTTTTGATCGTTTGGTGACAATTTAAAAAGTTCACAGAAACCTGACGTATCTTAGAAGGAATGTACAGATATTCGGATTAAATGGTCACATACATCACTTGCTTTGGGTAAGGAAGTTTTGGAAATCCACACTACTCACCTTTTAGTTTATGTTGTATATCATATATATATATATATACTAGACCTTTTTCCATACAACCAATTTACTAAAGCACTTGTAGGTTATTATTTTACATTAATAACATGCATGCATGTTTTGACAGTCGAAAAACATGTCTGACATGTCATAATAATGCAATCACATCACATACACAGGATAAAGTGTGAAGGTAATAACACAAGTTAATACATGTGTAAAACTTGGGCACTGTGATAGTAAGTAACTCCATATTAGTTTATATATGTCCAAACCAAGTTCACTTTTAAGGGTTTGAAAAAATTTGGGCATTGGGTATATGATATTCATTATAATAAAGGTTTTTGTATTTCCCAATGAATGAAAAACAAAACGATATTGTTTTTACTGACGTTTCGCTATTTAATGCTAATAGCTTTATCAAAGTATTATTAAACCGGAATTTACAAAATCTCAGCATATATATATATATATGTATATATATATATATAACAAACAGTTAGGGGGTGAGAAAATAGACATAGGTCAAGTTAAAGGGACATATTGAAAGTAAAAATAGCGATGAAGATAACTAAACCAAATAACAAATGTAATAGTATGTCTGTTATGATATCAAAATAAAGTTTATTTTGATATCATAAAGCTATTGATAAAGCTATTAGCATTAAATAGCGAAACGTCAGTAAAAACAATATCGTTTTGTTTTTCATTCATTGGGAAATACAAAAACCTTTATTCTAATCCACATTAGTTTGTTCATTAGATATATCACGCAGTGAAACAGTATTATTTACAGGATGACACAGTTGCGAACAAAATTTATTGTTCATAATCATTCCATGAATTATAATCACACGACTTTGAAACTTGAGTTTTATAGTTTTCTTTCTTCGCGCCTATTTGTCGTAGGGGTAGTAGAATCTTCCAGATATCTGGGACAGGTGTTGAATCATTCCTATTACATGTATTTTCATTCAGCTAATTCGATAAAAAAAGCTTCTGTTATCAATCTCTCCCTATACCCTGTGACGTTAGATTTTGAAACTGTCATCTCATCCCATCCATCCTATTGTATGGTTGTGTGTAACTGTAATAACACAAGTCATATGGAATTATGATAACCAGCTGAAACCAAAATCAAACCAGGTTGCTGTTCACAAATGACTCTCACAAAGTGTGCTCTTTATCTGATCCATGCGCAGTTAGTAAAAGTGAGTCGGGTACCTGTAAGGATTTCCTGATTATAGCGGCTTGTATCACCACCGTCATCGCAGTCCATAACTCTTAACCATAGGTAAGAGATTCTTGAGTATATACTCTTTTGAACAAAGATATAAGCGAAGCTTTGCTTGTTTATGAAGGCGTATACATACTTAAATTAAGCTGAAATCAACTTCTCGCGGTCATAAAACCCCCCCGAATCGACATAATCTTAATTAGTACTTCTTATACTTTGCTCTGCATGATGGTACGAATTTTCATTTCGCAATTTACATTGCGAAATGTCACGTGACAAAAGAAACGCACTTTTGTCCTTTATTGTGTAACTACTCCCTTTAATTGCTAAAAGTTTGCTGCGTACTTAAAAGAGTAAGCGTAATTATTGTCAAAAAGGTGACAGAAGGATACAAAAACGAAGCTAAACCATAAAACCCAGTGTATACCATATGTCCATTTCAGACCGAAAAGTAACACAACCTTTGTATTGCCGCAGTTTTGTTGTATTTTTATGGATTAACTAAAACACAAGGTAGTATGGTAGTCGGAAAGTCTCCTTCAAAATGGTGTGAATCGCCTTATATATATACTAATTATATCAATATACTGAAAAAAGAACAATCTGTCTGTGATTATCATAAAGGGATTGCCTGAACTAACGTCATATCTTAAGTTCTAGATACAATAACGCTGCACTGACAGAATAGAAATCGGGAAAAACAAACCAAGCAGACCTCACACCAGGAGGAGTGTACAACAGTAGTATTCTGACCCTCTGACAGGCTTTGGAACGTTGGCTAATAATCCACATTATGAGTCGACGGTGAAGTTCTGTAACAGTGTCTAGCTGTGGATAACCCAGGAACTGTATCGCACCAGTTTATAACCTTCTACCCATACTACTGTTCAAACGCTTATGGGACGTTTTTGTCTCAATTAATGCCAGGTGAAGATATCTGTCAGGTATATACACCGTCCCATTTTGTTTAGTTCCAGCAGTGGTGTACTAATGGGTATCACCCTTTAGCGTTTCAAGGACTGACTTTTTAGAAGAGGAAAGTCCTGACGACTCAGAGTATTCAGATGATATATTCATTCTAGAAAAAGATCGAGGAACATCTGTTATGCATGCATTATCTGCGAGAACTAGTGGCTGGAGACTGTTAGCTACGTGGCTCAAAATAAATCTCGATAGCCCAAACACAATCACTCCTTTTGAATTCTCGGGCCAGATTAA